CAAAATTGGAAGAATCAAATAAAGGCTAAAGGAAATACAAGATGAAAAAGGGGGAAGGGAAGAAAATAGCTGATTAAGGGGGTCAGAAAAATAAAAGCCCATTCTACAACTCACTCCTGAGGTCTGTTCCATTGGTTATACCTTTACTGCACCATTACATGAGTTCTACCACCGTGAACGTTAATTTAAAAAGAAAGGGAAGCCACATGCATCAGCTTTATGGTTTTAAATTTGGATTTTCTTTAGTCAGAGATGGAGTAATTAAGAAAGTAACCTGGTGCCCAACAAGCAAGCTTTTCCACCACCGCTGCTGCCCCAAATGCTATGTCATAAGAACAGAATAGACAAATGATGGAATATGAGAGCACTTAAAGCAGAATGGTTCCACCTCTAGATGTGCTGGTCTGTTCCCATGCCATAAAACAAAAAGCTTTCCCCATCTCCTTTAAAATCAACTTGTGCACTTGCAATCGTTCTTACCAGATTAATTTCCCAAATTAAGTTCATAATTCTCTCAGACCCTTAATCTAATACTTCATTTCAGTTTTTTGCTCTTTTTTTGGTGTGGATCTCTCATTGATTATATGAACGGATACCATAGAACTCCCATTAACGAAGCTCTGAGTGAAAGATGTCATGTGAAGTCTTACTCAGGGCCGGCTGCAGGCACCAGCATAGGAAGCAGGTGCTTGGGGCGGCCAATGGTAAGGGGCGGCACGTCTGAGTCTTCGGCGGTGGGTCCCTCAGTCCCTCTCGGAGGGAAGGATCGGCTGCCGAACTGCCGCTGAAGCGCCGCCAATCGCTGCTTTTTTTTTTTTTTTTTCCCCTTCGCTGCTTGGGGCGGCTAAAAAGCTGGAGCCGGCCCTGGTCTTACTGAGAAGATCTAATGTCCAAAATAATTTCAGTTATAGCTTGCTTGATTTCCATGAAGGTAGGCACTTTTTGAGGATACATACACATTACATTTACTAGTGGGAAAGGAAGTGCTTCCAGTTATTTTGATTCCAGAAATAGGAGATAATTCTATCATTGTTGAAAAAAATGTAATATAATTTTTATTTACCTATTTCTTTAAAACTGCAAAAAACTTAAATTTCACAAAACACAGCTTTGGTTCACAGAGTTCTTAAGCCTAAATCCCTTTCTGCAGTTAACTTGAAAAGTTCCCTTAAGAGCACCCAAAATGGGGTATAATTTACTACTGTGGAAGTTGGGAAATCTATTATCATTTTTGTGTGTGTGAAGATTCTGGGACAGTAAACAGAAACAGGGGAGGGTCCTAACTGAGAAAATTCTAAGGAGTCGTCTATGGACATTGATTACCTTTGGTTTTTTAGAAAAATAAGGTCACCTATACACACACTGCATACTATTTAGACTAGGAACCAATGCTTACCAGGATCAGTCATGTATAAGACTAGAATTTCAGTTAATCCACCCCTCCCTGCACATTATGTTATGCTAGGTGTCACCAGGTGGTGCTATTACATAGTCTGCACACTTGAGCTTGGTACATTTGAGCTTCGCCAGCTAGGTAGGGAGCCAGCCGTAGGGCTCAGGTTGCCCTATCATAATCGGTGCCCATGGCTACCCGCTCAAACGTACCAAGGAATGCACCCGGGTCATCTGCCGGGCCCATTTTACAGAGTCCCAAGCCCCTCGGCCAGGTGCCATCCCCCATCGCGGGACTCACCTGCTGTCTTATACAGAAGTGTAGGCTTTTTTGCTGTTCTGCAAAAGCTCAAAGCACACTTCTAGTAGTGGTGGTCATTCTCTTGCAAAGAGAATACAACATGAAGCAACTTTAAAATGTTTTGTAAAGGTAGGCAGATATTAAATATTAGGCTATGTAAGACTCCAAAGGAAGCTGAACTGTGAACATCTGCTACTGCTTAGCAGAGGGGCAATAATTAGAGGCCAGGTGGTCTGAATATTAAGGTTCATATTAACCCTACTTCACCACACCAGTCCATCTCTGCCAGTCCTGAAAAACATCTGCCAATACTAATTGCTTTCCATCTGAAAACAAGGTACAGATTTTGCAAAATGAATTTGGCAAAATATTTCAAAATTTCTCAATCTATACCCTTCAACTTCATTAAAATTTTGGAAAACAACTGCCTTTCTAAACAGATCCCAGTCGTAAAGTACAATCAGGACCATAAGTGTTCGGAAGCAGAACAGGCACCCCTACGCTGGATGCAGCAGAAAATTGCTCGTTCTGCATAGCTGATCCAAAAAGGCCAACAATTTTGTAGCAGTAATAAGTAAACCAGATTTGGCAGAGAATAAAGCAAGTCTTAGCCACAGGAAATCCAGAAAGATTGCTGTGTTTAAAAGAACTCATGGTGGGAAACCAAACATTGACCTCAACTTGTAAGAGGACTTTATTAAAAGAAAAAAATGCTTTTCCTTCTGTGGATCATTATCAAGAAGATATCTATTTGTGACAAAACTGAAGTGGTCTGGCATGCAGTCAAAAACAGGATAACGACTTAAAATCTCACTGTCCCCCTGAGGGAACATGCCTGGAACAGATACAAGATGTGTTATTGTTACTAGAAATTCTGCAGTATCTCCATGTTTTTGTAACGTTCCTAGTCTATCTGTTAAGTTTAGATGCAACATAAATGCTTGGGTGACTGCAGTCAAGCTTAGAGACCACCTTATATATAAATACCTCAACGAGCCTGGGCATCAGTGGTAGGGGGAAAAGATGATAACAGGAACTTTACATGCTCCGTAGTACGCCAATTCTGAGACTAAAGGATTGGCTTTAGCCTCAGTGCTACTGGTAGTCATGGCTGCTGCACTTCGTACTGCAGGAAGCTAGGGCCTTTCTGAAGAGTGAGAATTCCGCTGTTGGGAAATCCAGCACACAATTGTGGAACTGAGCAGTTGTGTTTGGCAACTATCGTTAGTTCAAAGGGTTGCTGGCTTTCATTTTTTAAATAAATCAGTTTAAATTGTAATGTGAATCAAATTAAAAGGATATGGAAGAGCATGATGGGAGGGATTGATGGTTATTGGTGGAAGGCTACTTGAAGACCCTCATAAAACTCACTTCTTTTAGGAGGAAGGAGAAGGTTACTCCAAGGGCACTGGAGGCTGCTCCAACTAATTTAATACATAGTGGTGCAAATCTAGATTATTCAATTTCATCTGAAAAAATCTCTAGTTAGAGTGTTACATATTTTATAGCTTCTGTAGGTGAAACTCACTGCACACAGCAGGGGTTCCTTGCATCCCTCCATTCTCCCCAACAAGTTCTCTGTGTGCCTCCCCATTTCCCGAGCCAATGGATATGGTTGGCAGCTCGGAGATGAAGGAGATCCTGCAATGGCTTGTAAAGCAGGAGGAGCAGATGCAAAAGGCCCTGCAAGGCTTCCAGCAGTCACACCAGGCCGAGAGACAGGCCTTGCTAACCTGGCAGGCAGAACAGCAAAAAAGCCTACACTTCCGTATAAGAGAGCAGGTGAGTCCCGCAATGGGGGATGCCACCTGGCAGAGGGGCTTGGGACTCTGTAAAATGGGTCCGGCAGATGACCCGGATGCATTCCTTGGTACGTTTGAGCAGGTAGCCATGGGCACCGGTTATGATAGGGCAACCTGGGCCCTACGGCTGGCTCCCTACCTAGCTGGCGAAGCTCAAATGGCCTGCATGGCATTGAGTGACAAAGAGGCCCGGAACTATGAGGTGGTGAGGGCAGCAGTCCTAGATCAGGATGGCCTGTCCTGTCAGAAAAATACCGCCAAAAGTTCCAGTTGGCCAGATGGATGGGGGCCATGCAGCCCCGGGCATTTGCTCAGAGACTGATGGACTGGGCCACCCACTGGCTGAGGCCTGAGACTCTGTCACGCCAGCTCCAATTGAGAAAGGGGAATTGATGCTGGCTGAGCAAGCCCAGGCCTGATTGGCAAACGGAGAACAGCTGCCGGCCTCGTTAACTAAGGGCAATATAAAGGCTGGAAAGAAAGGAAGAAGCCAGAAAATTAGAGGGAGTGGGAGCTCTTCTCTGCTGGCTGCAGGAGCTAGCAGGCCCTGAGGCTGTAATAGTGAAGCTGTTGGTAGCTAGAAGGTGGTGGGAAGGTATACTGTAAATAACGAGCACGGGTGATTGAACCTACGCAGAGGTCTCTGGCTGGTTTGTGGGCGTGGCAGAGGAGAGCGGGGCCCAGCGGTGCCTCGCCACATTCAGATTTGGTGTTCAACGGTTATCACATTACATCCAAAACAGAGAAATACCATTAAGTTGAGCATAAGGCCTCACAAGCTTTGCCAATAAAGGGCTTGGAAAGGAAATTTTTATCATTTGATGTCCATATAATTGATTACGTTCAGTTACAGTAACCATTAATATACAAGGAACAAATGGCATAACGAGTTCTTTGAAATTCAGGCTTCACGGGGAAATGCATTATCTCTTATAGTACCAGAGCTAACACAGCAAAGATGGAAACAGAGCATAATCTCCCTCTGGTTGCTGTTTTGAGAGGCAAACACGACAGCCACAGCATCGGACACTCTGCAACTTCATTTCTTTCATATGGTAATTGTTAGAGCTTTCCCACTAGCAAGAGAGCCAAGTTACAGTTAGTAATGCAACTAATTATTTCCATAATTTCCGGCAATGAACTTATGTTGAGCTACAATATTTTTAATTCCTCATTTTGAGGTTTGTTTTTAAACTTGAGCTCCAAATTGCCTGCCTTTCAAATTTGATTTTTTCATGATAACTGCAATAATTAATTATACAATTGTAAATTAATGGCCTATTTCAAAACCTTAACTCTCGTATAGTGTTGTGACTGGGAATTCATTTAAGATTCAGAACTCTTCAACACTATATCCCAGATGAGAAAACAGTATTTTTAGAATAGTAACTGATTTATTATGTATGAAGCTGCTATGTCAGCAGTTGTTTCATTACGGAAAAGGAAACTTAGCTATTGTGTACCTATCTCAAGAAAGAGATAGAATAATCTAGTTTATTGCATACCAGTAATGGTGCAGGCATCTCTGTATTCTCTGTTGTCCGGCACATCATTTTCCACTGCTTCACTTACATAGTGCTCTTCATGGATGCCTGTGTCACAGGCTAGGACTGCATGGTTCGTTGGCTCTGAAGGGGGCACAGTGGCAGCCAAAGTGCAGTCGTGCAAAGCTGTGGCGTCCAGCTTGGCAGGTTTCACAGGGATGTACAAACTGCCATCAGGGGGACCAGTGCTGGAGACTGGGTCTGGCACGCAGAAACGCAACCCTGTCTCTTTCTAGTGTTGGGTTCCTTGAGAGGTCTGAAAAACACACGAAAGCAGCATATATTAAATTCAGGCAATTCTAACCAAATTAGTCAAAATAGATTTGTCAAATATTCTATTAATTCCATGATAAGTTCAGCAAATATTACAAGACAAATACCCCACATGGACCATCTGCCACACTTAGTACACTGTGTAATCACTTTATCCACAGACAGGTGTTAGGCCTGTTACATCAATATTTGAAATTGTAGGATAAAGAGTCAAATTTTTCTTTTTTGTCCAATCCTCCCTAGAGTTAATATAGTCCATCAGCTAAAGAACATATTGTGATGAACATGCTAGGGCATTACCACCATCCCTCCCGCCTAACCAGTGGAGGGCACTATTTTACCCAGTTCAACATTCAGCCAGTAGAGGAGTCCGTATTCCAGAATACCAGAAAAAGGAAGTAAAATCCTGACATCAGAGAGAATCAAGTTAGGGAGAGAGTTAGAGACTGCACGTGAGCAAGAACAGCAGCCTGGGATCAGGCTGCAAAGAGAGGGCTCGGCTGGGCTGCAGGGGGACGCAACCTCAGCCTATTACTTTCAGGGAGCCAGCAGAAGAACAGAAGAATATATTGCACTGGCTTGCAAGCAGGTGTGAATGCAACTGCAAAAATGACACCACAGATGAAAGACCTGAGCTCTAACCAATGAGGTCTTCAAGTGCTTCATTGCCTTCAGGAGAAGGACAAACTTGAGATAACTTTATACACTTGGAGGAAGTGTTAGTGGTTGACAAACAAGTGGTTGACTTGTTTGTAACTGCTAACGTTCTCGTGCCTGGACTATTTGCATATTTTCTTTTCTAGCACCCCCTACTAAAATAATCCTCTTCCTTCCTTTGATTGAGTGTTTATGGGAACTCACTGAAGTCTGTGGAGCCCAGTGCTCAGAGTGCCTACAGCACCTGCCTCTAAGCTCATGGTACAGGCTTGGGGTCCCACAGAGAACTACCAGACATCTAGAGGGGGCAGGAGTACCACAGCACACAGAGCAACATCCAAGACTCATTTACAATATTTTATGGTCTTTCACATGTGCGCTCTTCTCAGCTTAGTCTGTATTTTTCAACAGGGATGAGTATTAAGACCCAAAAAATCCAGACCTCTTGCACAACTCATATTTACCTTTAAGTCAGAGATACAGGGAGACTGACATACAGTCAGTCAGTCTTAGTTCTAAAATGTCTCATACTTTATCATGATGATTTATGCATTATAGCATTTTATCAAGGCTGAGTAACCTGAAAATGACTCTCAGGTTCAAAGAGACAAAGCTGAAATTGCACTCTCCTTCCACTACAATCACCATGGGACAATCGTTTTTCTCTGTATTAAAATGATAAATTTATCCTGGCATATCCTTAAATGCAGTGTTCCTCTGCTGTAGCAGCCTCAGAAAGGGGAAAGTCCCCAGTGAGTGCTTTAGCAGAAAGCTCATGGCTCTTCTGCATAGTATCCTTTATTACGTAGCTATCACTGCACGCAGCTTTGCAGAACAACTGGGTCGTTTGTACTGGTTATTTTTAAACTTGTCCCCTGTCAAGTTGCTATGCTGGAATAATCAAAGAGAGAGATGACTGCTGTTACAAATTTTTTATTTACGTGAACTTGGAATTAAGGAACAATCTCCATTCCTCCTTCGCAATTCACATAGAAGTGTTTCAAGGCACAGCAAGGAAGCACACTGAAAACGTACCAACTGACTAAAAAGCATTTTATGTCTCCATTTCCTCATGATCCCATCATACACCCATGAATCATATTTGTAATAGAAAACTCCATTGGGTAAAGCACACCCTTTGTTCACAGGAACAATGATGTCTGGGGAAACATCTAGTAACAGCAGTATTTATTCCCACACTCCCTCTCCCCCCACCCTTATGAATCCTTCCTTTTACAATTATAACGAGTGAGGAACCTCTCAGGCACGGCTTGTAAGAAGTGTGTCTCCCTAAATTACACTTCTATTGATCAAACATGTACACCTCTACCTCGATATAACGCTACCCGATATAACACAAATTCTGATATAACGCGGTAAAGCAGTGCTCCGGGGGGGGAGGGGGCGGGGCTGCACACTCCAGCGGATCAAAGCAAGTTCGATATAACGCGGTTTCACCTATAAGATTTTTTGGTTCCCGAGGACAGCGTTATATCGAGGTAGAGGCGTATAAGTGAGTTTCGAACAGATGAGACACTTGCACTTACAATGGTCATGGATACTAATACAGTATCTTGTGTGAATACAATCTTCCTTGGGGCTCCCTTCTCCCAATGATTTTTCCAAACCCTTCTCCCACATACCCACAATCACTGAAATATTTGCAAGCAGTGACCAGAAGTTTCATTACATCTGGCATCCAGTCAACATAAGCCCCTCCATTCATCTAGCATACCACCTAGGTCACTGCAATAAGGTCACACCAGTTCTCTCCACCCCAAACAGTCTGAGATCTGAAAAAAGCTCCACTTCTTACATCACCAGTCACCTGCAAACAGAATTCAGTCAAGAATTTTGTTGATCCCTGGAAGAATATAATGAGATTTCACTTTTATAGCTACATTAACCCTGTAGTTGGGGATAAGCTGGTTTTAGTCAATAATAGAGCTGTGTGGATAATTCACAACAGATAATTCAACACATTTCATCTTTTTATTTCCTACTTGAAAATTGTTTGCATGCAGATCACAATTTTCTTGAATTTGTTATTCAAAATTATTCACCAAGTAATTAATGGTCTGTGGAATCTCATTTCCAAGAAGTTTGCTACAAGTATGATTTATTCAAAATTTGAGATTTGACATAGATCACTGGTCACATGTCACACAGGAATGTAAATTAAACTCTTTTCATGAACATTCCTTACAGCAAACTTCTTCATTCAACTGTTCACAGAAAGCAATCACAAAAGGGATGCCCATGTGGCTGGAATTAATTTATTAAAAATGCAAGTGGATATTCATAGAATTATTTTAGCAGTATTTGCCCAGACTAGATCAATACTCAGATTGAACTCAAAGATACATAGGAAGCAAATATGTTGAATAAAATGATGCTGTTTGTACTTGGACACTTTTCTGAGGAATCTGTTCTTCAAATTCAGTCTAAAGCAGTCAGATATATATTTTTAAAATGTCCTGCAAGCAGCCATAACAAAAGAAACCCCAAATTTACTGCACATGGTAGTTAAATGTACCATAGTTATTTTCTGATCTGAATATAGGAAATACAAGTACTACCATAAAAAAATTAATATTGTAACACAGTAAATATTGACTTTTACACAATGGTATGCACTGCAGGCAGCTCCTCCTTTAAAGACAAAGGACCTGGTCATAAAATAAAATAATATTCTATCCTGAAAAGGGCCCCTCATAAAAATGACTACCTCTTAGGCCTGGTGTACATTTGAAAGTTTAATCGACAGCTATACTGGTACTTCACAGTACTACCTGGTGTCATTAGGGACAAAAATGGGGGAATGGATCAGCGTTCATGTCGGACTCCTTGTCAGTACCTGACCCAAGCCGGGGAAGCTAATGATCCAACCAGTGGACCAAATTCAGTGATGAATCCTGGTCACATGCCACCTGAGGCACGTTGTGCATATGCTAAGAGGAAGGGACAAAAATAAGTTATCACTCCCATTAGACCATTAGTCAACTTGGCTGAAAGAGAGGGAACTAGATTATATTGCTTCTTGAGCATCAGCAGAATCGTCGTCCAAGCTACAAGAAAATGGAGCTGCATAGGGATCACTAAAGGCAAAACTTGGCCCCAAAGTACAGGTAGAGAGAGGTCTGTGAAAAAAAAACAAAAAACAAAACCACAGTATGACTTTCAAAGCTAAGCAGCATTTGCAGGACTAGCAGTTTATTTATTTTTTTTTTTTTAAACTTGGAAGCCAAGCACACTCGATGCAGAAATCTCAGAGTCAGTAAATGTAACTCTACAGCGTCACTTTCATAGTACAAACACACTTTTATGGCCTGTCTATTACAAAATGCAACAGTGTTGCAACCAGGGTCAGGGAAAAGACAGTTACCTTTTCCATAACTGGTGTTCTTCGAGATGTGTTGCTCATGTCTATTCCACAATAGGTGTGTGTGCACTCGCCACATGCACTGGTGCCAGAAGTTTTCCCCCTAGCAGTACCTGTAGGGGAGCGCCTTAGCAACCCCTGGAGTGGCACCTCCATGGCGTGCTATAAGGGGCATTGCGCGCTCCCCCCACCCTCAGTTCCTTCTTGCCAGACAACTCCGACAGAGGGGAAGGAGGGCAGGATGTGGAATAGACATGAGCAACACCAGAAAATACGGAAAAGGTAACTGTCTTTTCTTCTTCAAGTGATTGCTCATGTGTATTCCACAATAGGTGATTCCAAGCTATATCTGTTAGAGGTGGGAAGGAGTTCACAAACTCTCGGGACGGAGAATGGCCCTGCCGAACCCGACATCCTCCCTGGTCTGAGAGACAATCACATAATGCGAGGTGAATGTGTGAACTGAAGACCATGTGGCAGTCCTACAAATGTCCTGAATGGGGACATGGGCCAAAAAGGCAGCCAACGAGGCCTGCGTCCTAGTCAAGTGCGCCTTCACAATTGGTGGCGGAGGGATTCCCGCCAGGTCATAACAGGTACGGATGCACGAGGTGATCCAGTTGGAGAGCCGCTGAGTGGAGATCGGCCGACCTTTCATGCACTCATCCGAGGCGATGAACAGTTGCGAGGACTTTCTGAACGGCTTAGTACGCTCCAGGTAGAAAGCCGGAGCCTGTCTCACGTCCAGCGTGTGGAGGCGGCACTCCTCACTGGACACATGGGGCTTGGGGCAAAGGACCGGCAGAAAAACATCCTGACCCAGTGATAGGCGGAGACCACCTTCGGGAGGAACGAAGGGTGTGGGCAGAGCTTGACCTTATCTTTATGAAACACCGTGTACGGGGGCACAGAGGT